CAGCAGATTGATGTCTTGTTCATCGAATTCAACATCATCACCTGCATCCCACTCCACCTCGCCCTCATCACCATCGCCACCAGCGCCGCTTCTTTCAGCCATCTCCGGTTCCAACGAAGGGTATTCCTGCTTGTCTTGATCGCGCGCTATTTTGGCATCACAACCATCACTATCATCCTCACCATCATCGTCGTCATCATCATCTTCATCACCATCATCTTCATCATCAACATCATTATCCTTATCATTATCATCGTCATCGTCGTCACCGTCATGTCAGACCTACTTTGGCTAGTGCCACCATTCGTGTTGCGCTTTCGTGCTCTGCCCGTGCCTATGCTTGTGTGTTGTCATGTGCTGCGGTTGCTGCAATCCTGTACTATTCTGATGCTTATTTTGCGTTGCGCTTCCTGATCTTACAGAGGACACAGCGACACAGCCGTTCTGGTCACATGATGAGTTGATTGATTGATCGACTGACAGTGGGTTCCTGTCAAAACCGGGGCTAAGACAGCGATTGCTTGCACTTGTCCAGGTCCTTGGCCTCAGCTGAAGTCATTGGTGCCTGACCGAAACATGCTCCAGGGTCTTTCCCCTTCCGCCGAGAAACCTCGAAGTAGCCAAGGCGCTCCCACAAGAGAATCCTCAGCACTCGCTCAAACACTTCCAGAACACTGTCGACGAGACGTAGACTGAGGTGTTGCCGTTTCCTGTTTGAGTGAGTAGCAATGCTGCTCGGAATCAACACGAAACCTCACCCATTCGACTGGCTCAGAGAGGTGTTGCTCCACGGAAGATAATCTTGGGCGAGGATCATGTTTGCGAGGAACTGGCTGCCTTTGATCCGCCCAACCACCCACCTGGCAGAAGTGTTCCGCTATACAGATTCAGAAGAGACCCGCGGCTCAGAAGCCCGGAGCATGCCAGGCCTCCGAAGTAGGATGTCGTAGAGCTTCGGGCTGAGAGCCTTCTCCAAAAGCTCAGAGCCCAAACCTTCCGGGAGCTTCGCGCTCCGCCGGCGAGCCCAGGCAGCGGCTCTCTGACGCAGGCGCCAGGCCTCGCCTGTTTGCTCGCCTCGCTTTCGGGCCAAGTAGACCATGCGGTCGATGAGGCAGGCCAGGGCCTGCTGCACTGCTGCACTGCTGCACTCTGTCTCCGCTCCGCCATGCTCCGCCCGCACCGCTGCCATCGGCTACGAAGACCAGACGGCTCGGGACATGGCCAGGGGCATATTGGCCGGATACACTCCTTTCCCAACCTCGTCGGGGTACCTGACGAGAGCCAGACGTGGCCACACGGTGCTGTCGAGGGCCAGCTAAGCCGGGTCCCTTGCGTCAGAGTTGCCTTCGCCACGGAGCCGAGGATCTCAAACAAACGCAAGCGCCACGCACAACGCCATACTGCCCCCAAAAGACCAACGGGGAGCCGACTTGCGCGACTCGGCAAGGCGTTGCCTAGGCACGAAACCACCCTCAGCCTGTGACTCGCACGTTGTCTCTCTTGCTCACTCTTACTCTTGGATCTCTGAGAGCCAGGCTTTCAGAGCATAGTGAGCCGCTTGGTAGATGTGCTCACACGCCTTCCAACGAGGATAAAGGATGTGTAGAGAGCTTGCTGTCACACAGGGAATTCTGTCGCTGCGCCGCGGGGCCGTCCGGCCTTGTTCGGGTCAATCTCCACATGCGCCATGTCCCGCACCACCAGCTTCTTGATCATGCCTCAAATTCCCCCATCGTCGAGGCCCACGGCGCACGGCAATTGCTGCGTGCGGGACAGGTGATGGCTTCCTTCCGCTGTGCATCAAGGACCGTCACCTCGGTGCGCTCGTACTTGTGTGGAACGTTCTCGAGGAGCGTCCGCTCGGGCTGCAGCGGTGTCTTTGCTGACGGTGAACCTATCTGGACATCTCTCGATGACAGCGCGGATTTGCTGCGGGTCCTCGTTTCGTAGACGTTTGTTTCTCCATGTCGGGCACACCGGCTGAGGCCAACACCGCTGGCGGGTCGAAGTTCTTGCAGATCTCCCTCAATAAAAGCACGAGTGTTTCGAATTTGACAGGCGGCAACTCGTGTGGCCCTGACTGAAAGGAGGCGTAGTCGTTCTGCGAGGCGGGAGGCTTCCATGGAGTCGGCAGGTTTCGTGACGATTCCCGGCCTCCCCCGACAGGAGGAAGTCTGCAATATCGTCGGAGGTTCGCTCCTGGGAAGTCGAGACTGAGTCGCCCAGTCCCCCGAGACTGCCTCGTGAAAACTCCAGGACAGAAGCTTTTCTTACCGTTGCCACCTCTGGTATTGATACGATTACTATGCTGCTGAGGCCACCGTAAATAATCAGATCTTCTGCGCATTGCTGATTGGCATCCTCTGTAGTTGTAGAAACACAACAACCACGAGTATGTTGTCTCTCGTTGTATACTCACCGTCGGCTGCCATGAACTCTTGTATTGCCCCTGGCCTGTGTTGTGGTCCGCCCTCGCCGCCACACTGGACCACGTCGACCCTGCGGCGGGATCCGCCAGTAGAAAAACGATGCGCTTTGTTGCCGCAGGGTTACCCGTTCAAGTTTAGCTAACTAACATGCTTCTTCGGATTTTGAGTTCGTCACAAGGCAACGGCTCTACAGCGATCCGTTTTTGGACACACCGCCCTCGATAGTCATTGTCAAAGTGGTTTGTCGACGGATCAGCTGGACCTTGCCCAACTTGCTCAACAATGAAAACCTGCGATGGCATGGAATTTCGCGGAGTTCGGACGGGGCTCTTGAAGCCTTATTCCGAGCCCAGCCCAAGTAGCCTGTAAATTGCACCTCTTCGATTCGATGTCTTGGTGCTTCAGGTTACTGTTACTCCGCACCTTAAGCTGCCGAGCCAGGGAAGACAAAACTCAGATCAAAGTCCAGTCAATGGAAATACACATCTTCACCAGAATCAAGGGACGTACGGGCGGCAGTGGCCAAGTGACACGGCGTCTCTTGGGCTGCTGCTGATTCGCAGCTCCGGCAAAAGCTCAACCACGGACGTGAATTATTCCGAATGTGAGTTCCGGGTCACACAGCTGAAGCAAATACTCTGGGCAACAGCACGCAAGAATTTGCCGCCGATTTGTACTGACGGGTTGCTGTGCTGAGGGCTACGTGTGTGTGTGTGTGTGTGTGTGCGCGTTTGTCCGTGTGCGTGTGTGCGTGTGTGTGTGTGTGTGTCTGTGTGTCTGTGTGTCTGTGTGTCTGTGTGTCTGTGTGTCTGTGTGTGTGTGTGTGTGTGCGTGTGGGTGTGTGCGTGCGTGTGCGTGTGCGTGTGCGTGTGCGTGTGCGTGTGCGTGTGCGTGTGCGTGTGCGTGTGCGTGTGCGTGTGCGTGTGCGTGTGCGTGTGCGTTTGCGTGTGCGTGTGCGTGTGCGTGTGCGTGTGCGTGTGCGTGTGCGTGTGCGTGTGCGTGTGCGTGTGCGTGTGCGTGTGCGTGTGCGTGTGCGTGTGCTTGTGCGTGTGCGTGTGCGTGTGCGTGTGCGTGTGCGTGTGCGTGTGCGTGTGCGTGTGCGTGTGCGTGTGGGTGTGGGTGTGCGTGTGCGTGTGGGTGTGCGTGTGCGTGTGCGTGTGCGTGTGCGTGTGCGTGTGCGTGTGCGTGTGCGTGTGCGTGTGCGTGTGCGTGTGCGGGTGCGTGTGCGTGTGCGTGTGCGTGTGCGTGTGCGTGTGCGTGTGCGTGTGCGTGTGCGTGTGCGTGTGCGTGTGCGTGTGCGTGTGCGTGTGCGTGTGCGTGTGCGTGTGCGTGTGCGTGTGCGTGTGCGTGTGCGTGTGCGTGCGGGTGCGTGTGCGTGTGCGTGTGCGTGTGCGTGTGCGTGTGCGTGTGCGTGTGCGTGTGCGTGTGCGTGTGCGTGTGCGTGGGCGTGTGCGTGCGCGTGCGCGTGCGCGTGCGCGTGCGCGTGTGCGTGTGCGTGTGCGTGTGCGGGTGTGTGGGGGTGTGTGTGTGTGTGTGTGTGTGTGTGTGTGTGTGTGTGTGTGTGTGTGTGTGTGTGTGTGTGTGTGTGTTGTGTTGTGTGTGTGTGTGTGTGTGTGTGTGTGTGTGTGTGTGTGTGTGTGTGTGTGTGTGTGTGTGTGTGTGTGTGTGTGTGTGTGTGTGTGTGTGTGTGTGTGTGTGTGTGTGTGTGTGTGTGTGTGTGTGTGTGTGTGTGTGGGTTTGTGTGTGTGTGTGTGTGTGTGTGTGTGTGTGTGTGTGTGTGTGTGTGTGTGTGTGTGTGTGTGTGTGTGTGTGTGTGTGTGTGTGTGTGTGTGTGTGTGCGTGGGTGCGTGGGTGCGTGGGTGCGTGGGTGCGTCGGTGCGCGCGTGGGCGCGTCCGCGCGCGCGCGCGCGCGCGTGCGCGCGTGCGCGCGTGTGTGAGCGTGTGTGCTTCTAAGGGCGGTGGGTTAATAAGTAGATACATAAGTTAGTAATCGATTGTACAGTTTAGTGGGGATGGCTAGTCTAACATAGCAATTGACCTAAGTGCAGTTAGCAAGGTACAATTACAGAAGTTAGCCAAACACAGTTAACGAAGTTAGCATTTTACTAACAGCACCTTAAAACCATGATGATGCCCATGAGGATGATGAAAAATCCAATGTCGCAATGCAGGGCGATTCGCTCGCAGGCAGGATCAGAACATGAAAACTGTGACAATTCATGTGTCGCCATGCAGGGCGATTCGCTCGCAGGCATATATGCACAACAATCTTTTTTATGGCACGACCAGCATGCTGTCTGCACTCATGCGTTTGAAGAGGCAGGTTCGACTGATCTCGACCACTCGCATGAACTGGGCTCCGTCCTGCTTGACCCGGAAGAGATTCTTCCCTTGTGGCTCAAGCACACTCAACAGAGCCAGGAGCTCGCCATGCTGCAACCGGCAAAACAACCACACCTCTGCAACGGACCCCGTCTTAAGCAGCACCAGGTCACCCCTCTCGCAAGTCTGTCCTGGGCAGACCTCGGCCTGCATGGCCGACTGCACATGCTCAAGAGTCTGAAACCCGAATGTCTGCCCCAGGTGCCACAGCAAAGTGCCATCAGTGACAGACTTGGGGGACTTCAAATGGGGCCGCATGAAGCCAGCATGCTCAGACAGATCCAGAAGAGCCCTGCCCAAAACATCTTTAAAGAGTGAAGCTTCGAACCAGTCGGTCACTTTCTTCGTGTTGTCAGCAAACTGCTTCACTTGCCGATGCTTTCGTTCGTGTGTAAAACAGGAAATCAGAGGCCTGTCTCGAGCCATCAGGGGAAGATGGAGGCTATAGTGGAACTTCGGTATACAGTGCTGCTCTCCATATGCTTTAAGGAAAGCTTGGCTATGGGCCCGAATCGCATTCTCGAGCTCGTCCGGCGACAGGTTCCCAGTCCGATTGCATTCAAGCAGGAGGTCGAGAACCATACAAATCTTCATAAAGTCATAAAGGATCGGATGCATCGCCGAAGTTCGTCGTCCATTGTGTCAAAGTGATGAGTCAGCAAGAAAAGCCGCAGCAAGGGATAGACAGTGATGCACTGCGAAGCACCGGCCTTGAACTCAGAAGGTTTGCTCCTTTTGTCGAACAAATGCAAGATTTCTCTTCTCCGGTTCTTCAGGTTGTGAGGCCATTCGTACTCTGAGATAAAGCTCTGGATCACCTGAAATTTTGCACCCTGCACATGCAAGAGTGGCAAGAGTAAGCTCAATTCCACGTGCAGGAGGCCGCTTACCACATAACAATGCATCCAATCCCACATCAAGCATTTCACAAGCGGCATGCTTTTGTGAGCAAGCACTCCACATGGGTTGAAGTTCAAGCCCATGCTGGACTCGAGCAAGGAAAAATCCTTCTTGCTCAGGATGGGTTGCCTTCTCGCCAGCAGTGCCTGTGCAGTGAAGATCTGATTGTCGGTTCTGCGGACAAACAGATTGCTGTCGATGCATGATATGTCATGCAATTCTCCCGAGTGGTCATTTGCTGGCAGATCACCGTGGGTCTTGCTTGTTATGTTGGCACAGCGGGCAAACCAAAGTCCCACTGGAGCCCTTGAAGTCGTACATAGATTTCAAAGCTGCCTCGTCTGCAACTACAGTATGCAGTTTCGCGAAGAACATGACCCGTTCCCCAGTTGGCATGTTCAGCAAACAGCCCGACTGGAGGTTCAGGAACGATTCCGAGGAGACCAGAATGTGGGTGAGTGCAGACAGCCCGCCCTGGATCTTGTTGACCACCGAAGACCGAGTCAAGTTCAAAGGGAACCAAAGGTTTTCTTGGCATCGGCCTTCGGCGTCAAACTCGAGAAAACTGAGGTAGTACCCTTGGATCTTCCTGGTGTTGCTGGCTTTTAGTTGGTTGCCAGGACTAATCTCATCATTGTTTCAAGCCATGCGCCATGGGCTGGTTGCTGTGCACGGGTACTTCGATAGCTGCCTTTGGAAAAAGGCAGCTACACCAGGCATGGACTGGCAAACATGCCATATCCATGCCATCAGGTTGAGGATCGGCAGCTCTGTCGGCACGATCTTCACCTCCTCGTCTCCAGCTGCCTTTCGGCTCTTCACCTCCCCAGGTACTGTAATCTTGGCCACCAAAGGGCCATGAGGAGTCTCTGCCTCCAGCTCGGAATCCCGTGCCCTTTTGATGCCTCGCCGGGAGGCTGAGTCAAGGACTTCAGGGCATGCAGCCACTTCCTTCAGTACTGCCTCCAGTGCACTCTGGCTCACATAGTGCTTTCTGCCGATGGTAGCGAGCGACATAGATTATAAAGATGGCTGCCCGCGAGCAAAATGCCCTGCAGGCACCGGATATTAGAAGTAACAATTCTTACAATAAATATGTTTGTACATACAACATGTGTCAACCTGTCTATAAATCCTTGTCCCCACGAAACCTTCTTCAACACAACAAAAACCTCTGGATGCACGTATGATACAGTGTATGCACACGATCTACAACTAATTTCTTATAATGGCTGGACTATATCTACCAATATATAATATCACGTATATATATATATATATAATATATATATATATAATATATATATATATATATATATATGTGTGTAAGTATGTAACATACATACATATATATATATATATATACATATATATATATATATACAGGAGATATTTATACTTGCAATGCAGCATCAGACCAATCTGCAAGCCGATCCGATCACTCAGGTTTACATGCTGCCTGGCAAGACACACACACATGCAGCAGAAGAGGCAACATGATGTGCATGAGTGCATGCCTGCATGATGATCTTTTCCTCCCTCTGTGCTGCAGTCGACGAGTTCCCCACTCATCGAGCCGGTCATTTGAATCGGGCAAGCAGCTATTACTTACAGAAGCAGCTGGGCCTGCAGCCTGGTGCGAATCTGCATTTGCTGCAACCATTCGGGCGAAGGCTCACCCTTTTCTTCATGGAAAGATTGGCATAGTATTCTCTGCTACCGGCCGGGGCGGCTTTGGCCTTTGCACTGGCCTTTGCACTGGCCTTTGCAACGGCCTTTGCACTGGCCTTGGCACTGGCCTTGGCACTGGCCTTACTGGCTGCCTTTGCTTTGGCATGGGCTTTGGCCTTTGCCTTTGCCTTGGGCAAGCCTGCAGGCTTCTTAAGAATCCCCTTCTTCTTGTTGGCTGCATCTGCAACGAGCCCAGCCTGCCTCAACACTTCTGCCTCGTCGGCCTCGTCGTTTTCAGGATCACTCATCTCCAACTGCACTGCCGGCGAGACACCAGCTGATGCATTCG